TCAAATAAATTTCTACTGAGGCAGATTAAAACCGTGTTGCTTTTGATTTTATATCCTATCACTCTGCCTATGCAGCTTCTTTGATTTTATATATATATATATATATATATATATATATATATATATATTTCGTGTTAATTAGGCACTAAATGTGATTTTTCTATTATTGGTAATAATAACTGTAGTGTTAGTGCAACAACAGAACACAAATTAAAAAAACTGTTTACAGTATTTTAATATTAAATTCCACATACGCTTTGATAAAAAAACAATAAACATCATTTAAAAGCGCGCAAAATATATTGACAAGACCAAATTTGGGCCACGATAGTTTGAGTACCTACAATAACAGACAGAATCTTAAGAATAGTGATGATAACGATATAAAAGGTTACTAAATATATTGCCAAGGAATATTTTTATTTGAGCAGTATTGTTAAAAGAGGCTCTTTCCTTAGGCCTAATCTTATTTGGTTGTCTATTATAATTTCAGACTATCTTCTCTGACAACCTTGGGTACAATTTTTGCTATTAAAAGAATCTATAGTACCTCTTCTATGATACATGATCCTTTACAAACTGATAATGAAGGAGACATAAACATTATGCTATTTGAATCCTTGTTTTGTATATATATATAATACATTTCTCTTAATGCTTATAAGTTTAATAACTTATTAAGTACTCGAAAAATAGCTTATCTCTCCTGGTGTACGAATGTAATGAAAGTTTAAATTTTAAGTTTAAGTTTAAACTTTTGATCACAACACAAAAAATTCTTATTAAGTAGTTTCTGTTGTAAGAAATGTGTATTTTTTTATGTGCGATAGTTTTTCTTAATATGTTTAAATTGTAATTATTGTAATAATAATAATAATAATTGCAGGACGTTATATTTGTGTAGTTTTTATTTTTGTAATTATTCTTCTTAATTATTTTATTGTGCTATGATGATTAAATAAAATATACCAGAATATATAGGCAACAATGTTCCTATTTCACCTTTGTTATTACTCTATTATCGGTTTTTATTTCAGAATTAACTAAGCATTTAGGGTTTGAATACGACGAATAATATTACTGACAGCATGGCATCCACTGACGGTACAAAACTGGGTATTTCTGTATTTAATATAAAATTAATACATATGGAATTTTAAGTAATTTATTCCTTGTTTTGTTGTATGTGAACAAATGCATTGTTACTATGTGATAGTTATCTTTACCTTTACTTCACATGCAAACACCCATTATTTGAGTACATTTGGTTTATTTCGTTAAAAGTGATCCTCATTTCACCGAAAAGGGTATTTTAAGAGATAATAATTAATAATTAGAGCTGGTTATATGTATTGATGCTGAATGTTTAATTTGGTAGTGATTTGTGAAACGAATGTCCCATGGATCAAAATCTACTATTGCAAATCTTCACTTTTCTTTTGGATGTAATACATGCCACATGAACATCCGTTCTGCGCACCTTTCAAAACATATCAAAACATCCGTTCAAAACAAAAATTAAATACTTATACCCTAGTAGCCAGACCAGGCTTTGTATGTACTTTGAGGTCCAAAGAATTTGATTTCAGAAATTGGTTTAGAATGATGTAAGAATCATTTTGGCTTGGTAACAGGGTTGCCAGATAGTCGACAGGCTTCACGACCAAACACACGCCATCTTACGGCCAAATTCGGCCAAACCTTTTTTCGATATCGGCCAAAATTCGGCCAGATTTTATTCCGATTAGAAGACAATACTACAAAAATTATACGAAAATCAGCGGTCATCCGTTTGAAATTGAAGAAATTCAAATGATATACACAGAACAATGTTAAAAATATATAGCCATATTAGCTGCTGGCATGCAGGCCAATTCAGGGATGTCCGAAAGGGGAGGGCCGGGGCCGAAAAAAGGGAAGGAAGAGAAATTTTTATTTATTTATTTTTTTCTCTTTTTTTTTTTACCACTCTTCCCCTTAAATCCACCTCTGCTATTTAAAATCACAATATTAAGATTGATCTAAATTTGATTTAAATGTATTCAATATTAATGTACATTGTAGTCGATCTATAGCAAAAATGTTAAAGTCCTCTATTGGCAAATATAATCCGTGGCTCTCTTTAATTAGAATGAATTAAGTTACATAGTTAGGTAACACAAACTGGCGTTAAAACAAACCTATGAAAACTTTAATAAATACTTTTTATCTAAACTTTCGAAATTCGCCTCTGAATGTTATTGCCGCAGTACTTAAAGCATATAATCAATGTTGCTATCAGAATTATCTTCTTCATTCTCATATGCAACCTCACTCCAGAGTAACTTCGAAGAAGTCTCTGCAAAACTTGCTTGAAATTGGAGGTGCCATCGGACCCGAATGATCACATCGAGCATATGGCGCTCTCTACATAAAGAACACTGCGGCACCTAGGGCTATACAATTTAAAGTGGGCAATAATAAATTAATTAAAGTACAATATTTAATTTATATTCAAAAGAAATTCAACAACAACAATATATCCAAAACAAGTCTACGTTATATTAGGCCGATATTGAAAAAAATGTAAACTTTTCAAAAATTCGGCCAAATTCGGCCAAATATAGTTTGGCCGTGACTTTTCAAATGCTACGGCCAGGAAAAACTTTTATACGGCCAGATTTGAGGAATCTGGCCGTCAAAAAGGCCAAATGGCAACCCTGCTTGGTAACACATTTTCAAAATGTGGCGAAAGGTCAAAAGGTCAGGGTCAAAGGTCACAGCTATAGGGTCGTCATATCGCCGCAACCACTGGTCGTAGAGAGTTAATTTTGGTGCCTCTTTGGTCAGAACATTTATGTTTCTATTTGTTCTAATGGAACATTTTTCTAAAAAATGACCGAAAATTCAGTTTCTAACCTCTGACACGTTTAAATGTCATAGCAATAGGGTAATTATATCTCCGTAACCACTGGTGGTAAAGAGTTATTTGTGGTGTCAATATGTTCGGAACATTAATGTTTCTATTTTATAGTCTAATAGAAAATTTTGCTAGAAAATGACCGGAAATGCTGTTTTTGACCTTTGATATATTTCAAATGTCATAGTTATTGAGTCCTTATTATCTCCACAACGAATTCGATCCAACTCAGCCACAAGTCAACTCGGCCACAAGCCAACTCGGCACAAAAAGTTCGGCTACAGTCAACTCGGCCACAAGTCAACTCGGCCACAAGTCAACTGCAGCCTATATACTGGTACTACACTTTGAAGGAGTAATTCATGAAGTATAAAATACTAATTAAGTATTACTATTTAAACTTATTGTTATTATTGCTGTTATTATTGTTATTATTATTATTATTATTATTATTATTATTATTGTTTTTATTACCGTTAGTTTTAATATTAATTATTAGTCTTAGCATTAACATTATTCATTGTTTAAATTTTTGCTATTATTATTATTGTTACCATATAAATAATAAATAATTCTCGATTTTTTTATTCATATTATTATTATTATTATTATTATTATTATTATTATTATTATTATTATTATATTAGTCTTATTATTATTATTTTAATAATAGTAATTTAAAAATTATTGTTATTGGTGTTTTATTGGTATTTTTCTCATATTATTATGATTATTATTACCATATTATTATTATTATTATTATTATTATTTTTATTATTATTATTATTATTAATAATATTATTGTTGTTGTCACCTTAATTATCGATATTATTATCCTATTATTACTAAGTAGGCCTAGTATTATAAGATCATCATTAATATTACTAATTAGTATTATAATTATAAAAAAAACATTATCTTTAATTTATTATTGTTGTTATTATTGCTATTATCACCTTCAATATCGTTATTATCACTAATTAGTATTATTAAAAATAGATATTTAAATATCGTTGTTATTACCAATTAGTATTATTACTATTAGTATTGTTAAAATAAATAGTACTATTAATATTATTGTTATCACCTTTATTATCGTTATTATGACTAATTAGTATTATTAAATTAAATATTATTAATTTATTGTCGTTATTGTTGTTTAATATTATTGAAGTAGAATGTTGTGAGTAAACAGAAGACGAACACACGACGTCAGTAAGATTTTCTTGTAATAATCATTATAATTAGGCCTACTTCCGTAAGTTATTAGCTACCTAAAAAGGAGATATTATGGGCAATGCCTAAGCTTCACTAACCATGTTGGAATATTAATGTCCATGATACGTGGATGACAATAAGCAAAATGAAAAAAAAAAAAAAAATATGTACATGTATTATAAAATAAATGGTATAATTGAAATTAAATATGAGAAGATGTGAAGGGGTGGGTGGCAAAAGTCCGGGAGAAATCGTTCTGTCGAAAATGACACTGGGCAAAATGTCCGTGGGCAACCAGCCTGCGCCCGATGATGACATAATTAATGTAAAATTGAATCCCAACACGATGTCGTGTAGCCTATCTTAATACTTGGAGTATATGTACAGTATACTGTTCTGAGATTTAATCAGAGGACCTTTCGGTTTCTATAAATATTCAGTGGCAATTTTTATTTCTATACTATTATATAAAAAAAATAAATAATAAAAATAAAATGTATAATTGAAATTAAATATCATAAGATGTCAAGGGGTGAGTGGCAAAATTCGGGAGAAATCGTTCTGTCGAAAATGACACTGGGACAAAATGTCCGTGGGAAACCAGCCTGCTACCGATGATGACATAGGCCTAATTAATGTCGAATTGTAGCTTATTTTAATACTTGGAGTATGTATACTGTTCTGAGATTAATCAGCGGACCTTTCGGTTTTTATAAATATTCAATGGCAATTTTAATTTCTATAGGCCTACTGCTGTATTTATTTTTACGAATATGAATATTCTTATTACTACAGTTTTCGTCATGGATTTTCCCTTGAATTTCATCGACCTTTTTCATCTAGGCCTATTTTGTTTTTCAAATGTTATTGTTTCGGTGTTAGTACTGTCATTTTGGATATCTAAATTATTTTGCAAATATCATTACCGATTATCAATTTTGAAATTAAAAACAAAAATCCATTACCTCATTGCTATTCACTGGATTATTCCCAGGCCCGTAGCCATTGGGGTTCGAGGGGTTTCAAACGAACCCCCTTTTTTAAGAATTGCCCTTTTGAAAGTTTTTGTAAAATTTTTAGAGTGATATTTCTAGGCATCTAAGGATCGAGGTCATGAAAATGAGCACTTTGTAATAAAAATTCTGTCATTTGTGAAAGTCCTAAAGGCAGCTGGTCTATAAGAAAAATTGTAAATTTACCATTTTACAGAAGTTTACCCTTCAACCCATTTTAGATAAAAAAAAATTACTAAAATTCATCCTTTTCTGAAAAAAATTGAACCCCCCCTTTTTTTTTTTTTTTTTTTTACAAATGCTGGCTACGGCCTTGATTCCCTAATTTGTTCATTGGATGCATCCTTGTCACTGACGGGTTTCAAACATAGCCCCCCCCCTCCCCACCATTGGTCTAACAAATATGAAAGACTGAAGCGAAATGTCTGTCACTCAACAATTCCATTGTTTCTATTGTGGATAATTGATAATACATGCTATGCGCGCCACCTAATTTTAACGTAGGACTAATTCTTGGACGTGAGAAAATAGTATCGAATTTCACGCCATCGTGCATTCATTTGATTTTAGTCGCATTCAAAGTAGGGCCTAAATTTTTAACATTTAAAAAGTTATATTGTGGTTTTCCTATTTCAAATTTGTATGATTAGGTCTACAGTATGTACTCATGTTTTATGTCAGTGTTTTAACGTGAAAAAATTAAACATTAATATATGTGTTTTTCCTAATTATTAAGATTGCTTAAATTGTTAATGTTACATTATTGTCAGATTTTATTCCATTCTGTAAGTGGCTGGTTTTCTCTGATGAATAAGAGTACAGTGTGAAGAAATGAATACAACGATCTCACGACGATGATCAGAATTTTACTAAAATATACTGTGTAATTTCAATCATATTGAAGAAAAAGGATGCAAAAATTGATTAATATTTACATTTCATTTTAATTATTTTATTTGTTATATAAATAAATTGTGGCCGAGTTGACTTGTGGCCGAGTTGACTGTAGCCGAACTTTTTGTGGCCGAGTTGACTTGTGGCCGAGTTGACTGTGGCTGAGTTGACTTGTGACCGAGTTTACCTGCTTCCTGCACAACTACTGGTGGTGAGAGTTAATTTTGGTGCCAATTTGTTCGGAGTACTCATATTTATATTTACTCTAATAGACCATTTTACTAAAAATACGACCAGAAAAACCGCTGTCTCTTATACACATCTAGATGTGTATAAGAGACAGGGCTTAATTAATGTCGAATTGTAGCCTATTTTAATACTTGGAGTACGTATACTGTTCTGAGATTAATCAGCGGACCTTTCAGTTTTTATAAATATTCAGTGGCAATTTTTATTTCTATAGGCCTACTGCTGTATTTATTTTTACGAATATGAATATTCTTATTACTACAGTTTTCGTCATGGATTTCATCGACCTTTTTATCTAGGCCTATTTTGTTTTTCAAATGTTATTGTTTCGGTGTTAGTACTGTCATTTTGGATATCTAAATTATTTTGCAAATATCATTACACCCAAACGAAACGTTCGACCAGCTTATGTAGGGACCAAACTAGTCCCATGACCACTAATATCAAACCAAGGCAATATATATACACAGCCCAGGTGTGAATGCAAATAGTGAAGGCTCTAGAGTAAGCATGGATAGGGAAAGGTCAGAAACGGCTTTTCCGGTCGTATTTTAGTAAACTGTTCTATTAGAGCAAATAGAAACATGACTATTTCGAACAAATTGGCATCAAAATTTACCACCAGTGGTTGTGGAGATAATAAGGACTAAATAACTATGCCATTTGAAACATGTCAAAGGTCAAAAAAGCATTTCTGGTCATTTTCTAGCAAACTGTTCTATTAGACTAAATAGAAACATCAATGTTCCAAACGTATTGACACAAGTAACTCTTTACTGCCAAAGGTTATAAACAGCATTTCCGGTCATTTTGTAGCAAAATGTTTCATTAGAGCAAATAGTAACATTAATATTTTGAACAAATAGGCACCAAAACTCTACCTATGACTTTGAACCTGACCTTTTGACCTTTCGCCACATTTTGAAAATGTGTTACCAAGCCAAAAATGATTCTTGGACCACCCTAAACCAATTTTTGAAGTCAAATTCTCTGGACCTCAAAGTGCATACATAACCTGGTCTGGCTACTAGGGTATTAGAGTATCCTATTCTTACCATATTATTAATCAAGACGATTGAAGCAACTCAAACGAAACGCCGAGACTTTTTCAACTACAACAGTTCTTTTCAGAACTACCGACGTGGTGTAACGCAAGCATCAGCATACATGTTATTACTTCGCCATGCACACTTTCAAACAATATTATTATTGCCATCAGTGCAACAAATGTAACTTCCAATGTAAATGAATGTGGTTGTGTAGTAGCCAGTTGTTAATGTGGTTGTGAAGTAGCCAGTTGTTGATGATATTATTCAATTTCATTTTTTTTTAGAAATATCGAAAAATGACTTTATGTTTTTAAAAACGGATGTCTCAAGTTGGTATGACAGCCAGGACTCAAGTATTTCTATGTTCAAAGTTTTGTTTAGAAATAAGATAAAAAATGAAGAACTATCAGAAATTAAAGATACAATGGAGTTGTTGAATAAATTGGAGTACTCTGATAATTTGAACACAGCAGATCTTACTCTTTTGTATAACACCATCAAGATAACACAACATTTTGGGTTAATACGACGTATCTCAAAACATATACCGGCAAACTCATTGCCTGATGTTAAGGAAATGCCAATTTCAGAATTCAGTGAGCAAAGGCAAAAACTAATGAAATTTGGGTATGTACTAACTAAAAAGGGTGTGAGGTTGATTGATGGATTTTGTAATACTCCTCTCAAGAATTACAAAAACAGCTGGAGTATGATTATTGATCTAGAAGAAAGAGACATTATTAGTGAAGGCGATGCTATGAAGACATTTATTAGGAATTTGGAAAAGCTTGATCTTCCTCTGGCTGTGAAAGCATTAAATGAAGGTATTAACTGTTTTACATCGTTGCAATGTCTCCGCTAATTTCATAAAAGCTATTTTTTGTGCAATTATAATATTCTCGGTATTTATGTTAAAATTTGAAAGAAAATTTAAATATTGTATTAGAAGAGTTGTTATATTGATACAGCTCATACTTCATCCTGGTTTACTGTGATAATTTTGTACTTTAGTGTAAAGCATTATCTTGGTCACAACAGCATAATTAAAGAAAATCAAATTATGCTGCTCCTTATAGTAATCCTGCATAAGTATGCTTATGATTGGTGCCTATTTCTATCTTGTTTTTTTCAATATTTTAAATTTGTAATACTTTAAGTTTAATATTGTATACGTTCTTTCTGTTTACAGAGGCTGTACAGCACCCGAGACCAACTAAACCGAAGTATGAAGGTATACTCGACAAAAATTGAAAGAAAAGTTAAATGTTTTATTAGAAGTGTTGTTCATATTGACATGGCTCATACTTCATCCTGGTTTACTGTGATAATTTTGTACATTAGTATAAGCATTATGTCAGTCAAAACATCATAATTAAAGGAAATCAAATTAAAATGCTGACTCTTAAAATAATCCTGCATAGGTGTGCTTATGATTGGTGTCTATTTATGTCTTGTTTTCAATATTTTAAATTGTTAATACTTTAAGTTTAATATTGTATTCGTTCGTTCTGTTTACAGAGGCTGAAAAGCACCCAAGACCAACTAAACCAAAGTCTGAAGGTATATACTCGACAATACTAAAAGCAATACTATAATATAGGGTTAAATTGTAGGCCTATATAACTTTCGTTAATGCAGCCCCTTTAAAATAATATATGATGAACGGCTTATTTTATCTCTTCATTATTTAGGCGCATAGGCTACCGAAAATAGTCAAAATGATAGGGCGTAGAAGTATTACATTGAAGATAAAATTATTATGTCATTATCGATAATGTATATTATTATCATTAGGCATAATATTATCAAAATTATAAGAATTTAAAGAAAAATAGAATATTTGAATAATTTTTGATTCTACTACATTTATTTTCTAATTATTACATTGTTTAAAATTTTATTTTGTTTATGATAAATATTGTTTCACAGCTACAAATTCAAGGCCCAACAGCAAGCGACCAAACAAAACTGAGTCTCGAGACGAGCCTAAACCCAAAATTACACGTGTTCAATCCGAACCAAGTCCTGGTGAGATAATAGACAATTATATTTAACGGATTACGTTTTTAAAACGATTACAAAATAAAATTAATTTAGAAAATTTTCATAATTTTGTTTACTGTCAGTTGAATTGTTGTGATCATAAATGCCACCTTCTATTGCCAGTCTTACTTGACCAGTGCCACTGTATTTGAAAGTACTTTATATATTAATATTAAGTTTAAATTCGCACCGATAATGTTTACTAATATGCTTATAGCCGTTATATGCACCAGAGAAATGCAGGTTATGTTGAAAAATATTTAATCATTAGATCAAATGAGTAAACACGTATAACATATTCAAATTAGGTTTGCTACGTAGCATTGTAATAATTTTTTAAGCGCTGCTATTGTATGAGATATTTTATATATATATATATATATATATATATATATATGTATATATATGTGTGTGTGTATATATATGTATATATGTATGTATATATATGTTTATATATAAATATATATATATATATAAATATGTACATATATAGGTCTATATATTGATTTTGTAATATCTTTCAGAAATCACTCAACAAGAGTATGTCCAACTAAAGTTTGTTGTGTCAAAGCACTGGAAATATGGAAGTCTTAATATGCTGAAAGTTTTACTAAGACAGTTTGGGTCACAAATAGGTCAGGCAGAGTTACAGAACGCCAGCGATGTAATGGGTTTACTTAGATTATTGGAGGGAGTAGGTGTGGTCAACCGTTCAAACCCTGCAATCATCTTTGAAGCTGTTAAAATTTCTGGCCTTGAGGGGGTAGAATCAGAGATAAAAAAAATTGGTCCTATATTTGAAAGTTTTACACTTAAAAATGTGAAAATACGCATATTTTCCCGTTATCGTCAAAAACTGATCAAATTTGGCAAAATATTAAAAACGTCTTCTGTTAAGACGATTGGTGAAATGCACGAAATTGATGAGAGTGTACACAAAGGGGATCCGTGGATTTTAATATGTGTACTGGAAGAAAAAAATGTAATCAAACATAATTCAGCGAAGGAATTTGTTGAATTATTAAGGAAGTTCGATATGAATGATGAAGCGGCTATATTAGCCTAAGCTGATTGTACATCACTAAAGTGATACTTATGGCGTACTATTTAAAATATAGAAAACATTTCCTGAAATAAATCAGCTTTATAACAATTTTATGTTGAAACACAAACAGAATGTATATAATCATAGCCCGTTTTTTAGTGTTGTGTTATGTTTAATGTAGTAGTACCTGCGTCAGTGATTTTTCACGTGTGTGTAAGCCTATGTTGCATTACGTTTTGTAATAATTGTGTGAATATTTTCAATAAAAAACAATTGTTTATAGTTGATTTGAAACAGGCTTAATAGATAGAGTTAAGAAGGTAAAACACTAAGCTGTATACGATATCGAATATATGAAAAGTGTAGGCTGCCGGCACATTGCCTCTGACGATTAGTGCTAACAAATTTTCACAAACACGTGATGCAATAATGGCAAAATTATTATTTTTTATTTTCGCTAAATATTTCATCCGCTCCAAATTGCTTTCCTATTCTTCTTTCTTTGTATGCATCTTCCATATTTTCGTTAAGTTTAATTAATTTTTATTTTTCTTAATACAAATTTAAGCATAATACTTACAGTATATAAATATAAATTTATATGTATATCATAATAACCGACAGATTTTTTACACATACATTATTAATTATTAAAAAAAAAATAAAACTCTTAACATTTAAGGGCTGGTCTCTATATACTTGTTCTATAGTTAACATAATACAATCTTTGTTCAATTGAAAGTCGTAGATATGTCCTGCTCTTGACCGCCCTAGAGTCACTCTCAGATAGGCTTATCTTCATATGACTTCTATGAATGGATACTTGGCTCAAAGCAAGAAATCAAGTTGTCTTTACCCAGTACCGTACGTGTTTTTATCGGCGGGAAATTTTATAACTATATTAACTATGTTTCTCAGTGTGTTAATATTTTATTCATTAACTAATTATTACTGTATATTTTAGTCAGTGTTTTTCAAATAACTATGTTCTCATTTAAGCTCCCTTGCTGCGATGTGAATAAGTAAACCTGAATATATTGATTGATTGATTTATTGATTGATTGATCGACTGACTGAATTACTGTCTGACTGATAGATTTATTGATTTTCTTTAGTTTTTCTCTCTTAAAATTCTTATACAGTATTTGTAATGTTTTATTTATTGGACAGTAGTTTTGACTGAACTTTCATAATTGCTTTAGCTGATTTGAAAGAGGCCTATAAGATTTGGAAGTTATAAGTTTAAGCTGTAGCGAAATATTCGTAACAGTTTGATTTAAACAGAAATTGATTGATTGATTGTATTTTTTGTTTTGCTTGATTATAATTTTTAGTAATGGAATTTAATTCTCAATGTGCTAATATTTCATTCATAAACTAAATTGTACAATATTTTAAAGTTAGTGTTTTTCTAATGAATTTTCTCTCAATTCTGAGCTCTCTTGCTGCAAACGAGCAATTTTATGTACATATATTTTTTATGTAAATAAATAAGCCTGAATATATTCATTGATTGATTGGTTAGTTGATTGATTGATTGATTGGGTTATTGAATGATTGATTAATTGCTGACTGACTGACTGATTGTGTGATTAAAATTCTTATATTTTGTACCGTAATCGTTTATTTATTAGACAGTAGTTTAGATTAGACTTTCTTCGTTGCATGTTTGATGTTTTCATACTGTATATGTATGAAGAATGGAAGAATGTAAATGTTTCTTTAAATTGAATTGAATTGAAATAGAAAAAAAAATGTTATTGAGCTTGACATAGTTACCACGATAATAAAGTAATATTTCTATTCCTCTTTGGTTGTACCACACTTTTTTTGCTTTAGTGCGTGCTGTGCCATATATAAATTTTGCAATGTGTCAATTCACTGAAAATGGTTATTGTAATTCGAATAACTATTTTATATTTCCAAAGGTATATTTTATTGATTTTATAGTATAATTTCCCTATGTAATATTTTTGTTTTCAAAGTAATTGTCACTTTGTAAGTATTTTAATTTTGGAGATGGATGTGCATAAATAAAACAAATCAATATACAAAAAAAAATGAATAAATAAATAAAATAAAGTAAAAAAAAGCAAGCAAACAAATTCCAATCAAATTAACCGTTTTTGAAAAATCTGGTGTAAACTGTTTGCCCTTAAATCAATTTAAATCACTTTAATTTGTCCTCACATGTACACCCCACCATAGACTAACATCAAATATTAGGAGGTACATTATGGTCTATGCTTCGGCAAAGCATGGAACAGTTCCAAGCATGGGAAGTGGCCTAAGTGCCGACCAGAAAAACCCAGTGCAAAAGATAAGGGAAAAATTAAGTATGCAAGAAAAAAGAAAACAGGAAAATCAACAAAAAACAATGCTTTTCCAGCTACTGCAGGGAAAATATTATTATTATTATTATTATTATTATTATTATTATTATTATTGTTATTATTATTATTATTACCGGTATTAATTTTAATATTAATATTAATGTTAATATTATTATTATTATTATTATTATTAATTTTAATATTAATATTAATATTAATATTATTATTATTATTTTTATTATTATGATTCGTTTCCGGCAATGGAATTATAGTTCAATAATTGTTTCAAGGGATATTTTATTTCACAATCATTGTTTACATTCACGATTTTGCATATCAATAATTGATAACTTTGTAGGAAACACAATGGCTTAATAAAAGGCTAAAAAAAATATTTTGTTTGCCCTCCTCCACCCGCCACTAACTCACTGAAAATAATAGAGGCGGAAAAACAATACAAATTAAAAAAAAATGTGAGTGAATTTATTTTTATTTTTTTACAAATAAAACCTAAAGTTTTTGTCTGATGTAAGATATCGCCATTCTGGGCCTCTATGGGTTACTTTTATTCCATCTGATGAGTATTTAAAAAAAATAATAATAATTAAAAAAAAAACTTTTTCCACCCGCCCCTATTTATCTTTTTTTTTTTAAATGAAGGGCAAACAAACAATTTATGTTATTTGGCCTAAGCATCAACAATATTAAAACATAAGCCGTAATTTAGTCACATTATATCTACTTTTTGCGTGTATTCCCCTCCAACAAGTAATTGCACAAGGCTGGGACTCAGATAAAATTGACATATAACTGGGATATTTTAATGGCAGCTTTCAGTTGATTAATATTCATGATATGGATTTAGTGTAGCATGTCAGGCTAGAAAGTTGACGTTATTCACCCAGCGACCGAAACCGGGAAGATAACAAATATTAACAGTTTCGTGATAACATAGCAAACTCCGCTGCAGGTAAGTCACGTTAGATCGGCCATTGTTCTGATCATCATACACACATTTTGGTGTATCATTATTCCGACTGTACGAATTACCTGTATAGTTGGACAATCATTATACAAAAGGTAAGTCACTGTAAAAGTATATTAATTAATATTATTTATAGTTTTTATAGTCCTTGATACTACGTTAAAACGAAGTGGTACTATCATAAACAGGGCGTTGCTATACACATTATTAGTATTATAATGTAATATTACTATTAGCAGTTGTACAGGCCCGTAGCGTGACTTAAAAGTTCGTTTCAGTTGAAGGTGGACCTTTATCTCAGATACTCCGGAGAGCATTGCAAATATATCTACGAATAGGCCTATCCATTTTTGGTTTTTAAATGCGGACCTTCTCCAGTTTTTTGGGCGGTTCGTCGTAACCCCCCTTAATCAAATACTTGAGAACATTTAATGTTAAACAAGTCAAAGTCCTAAGCAATGCTACACCTAAATTCTAAACGCTGTTTTACAGTGTAGTAGCAGGTGGCAGCAGTAGTAGTAGAGTAGGCCTAAATAGTAGTAGTAATAGTAATAGTAATTAAAAACTGAAGGGTGACTGGATATGCATATGGCGGGGGAGGGGTCCATGGTCTTGGCGCGGGTTGGGGGAGGGGTGGGGAGTGGTGGTGGGGGAGTGGTGATGTCCCCGACGAGAGTAAATTGGGCGGTGTCGGTGGGGACAGTGATCCAGGAGCCTCCAAAGATGTTGACAATTTAGGGGTTTTAAAAAGGCTTATTTTGTTGATTTTTGAGTCTACTATTATATAATCCTACTTTTTTCCTTCCCTACGAATTGTGGTTTTCCTCCCAAAAGGGGTGGGGAAGTTTTCACTGACGGGAAAGAGGATTCTCCCGCCACCTATTAGAGGTAGTACTATTAGTAGACGTTAGAAATGTTATTATCTCAACTGCTACTAACAGAAATACTACAGGACTATAGTAGACCTATGCTTCGGAAAACCGTATCGTTAGCTTTTATTTTAATAAATCTGGACTTCAGGGGAAAATAATTACATTAATAGACTGAAAATCACTATTACAAGCTTCACTTTGCTCAGTCAGCCATGTAGGATTATAATATTGGTAAGCCTACTTCATCTTCATACTGGTTTTACTTAGTTCCTGAATCAGGAAATTATTCAGAACGTAGAGGAAGTTTGCTATCTATATTTATAAAATACAAACTCTTGAAAATGTTTAGTTAGAGTAGGCATGTCAACATATCATTTAATGTATTAAGTGTAGCTATAGTTTTAACACAATATTTTATAACTCCAGTACATTTTTATTTAAACATGAATTTTCACATTGCTGTTAAATTTCTATTCCTTATCAGAACGACATAAACTTTACTATAGGTAAACTGAATGCGTTGATAAGCACTACTGAGTTTCTTGTCACGTAAAGTCCTACATAATAATGGCATTCCTGAGAATTCTTCATAGTAGTAATGGAAGAATAGATGAAAATTCACATTGTTCACCAATCCTTTTAAATGTTTTATTTTTCATTCAGTGTTTGTATTCTTAATTATTTGTCCGAAGAGCAACGCTAAGCTTTATATTTCCATATCAAAAAATAGTTTAAATCTATGTCGCGTCATATTATACCATCTACCGTTTTACAACGTTAGAGAAGTTTACATTCATCTAATCAAAAGTCAAATAACATGAAAATGAATTAATGAATAAATGAATAAATAAAATAAAATAAAAATGTTTCAGTAGTGGTAGTAGTAGTAGTAGCAGCAGCAGCATCACCAACATCAGTAGGGGTTGCGCCGGGAATGCAATGTTGGCGCCAGAGGGGATCAGGGGTTACATTGCATACTCTTCTTTTATTCAAAATGTTTTGGTTTTGGAAGCTGATTTCAACATTAAAGATCATAGCCTACATGAAGTCATATTATAGTAACTCGATGCCTATCAAATAAGCAATAAAAATTCGCCATAATTCGTGAAATATCCGTGGCTCCGTGACCCCACCGGGGTCCCTAGGTGGCCCCTCTGGCCCCCAGGCAAGTGAAACTCGATTCGCTCCACTAGCCCCTCCCCCAACGGGCAGGTCCTGGCGCCATCACTGCAAGAATGCCCCAACGAGAGCCCACTCTCCTCGACAAGGACGTCCACGCCAATCCCCTCCGTCGCGGAATCTTAGCCTTTCCCCGGTCGGGGGAAAAATAAATTTGTCGTGGACTTTTTTTTAAATTAAAATTTAACATTTTTTTTTTTTTTTTGTTAATTATGGAATTTTTTTTATTTAAATAGGATGTCAGAGTACTAGTCCGCTGTCATGGGTACTAACCCCCTGTCAGAGGTACCAGCTCCCTGTCGGGGAAGAGCTGGAGCACAACACTGCAACTCATACGATCGCAATAGTATATATCACCTCACACATACTGTACGGTAGCACTGCTCGCACTAAACAGTTTATAATCCTAAAACGTTGACAGCTTAGTAGGTCTAGCTTGAATTGTACTTTCGGCGCTCGAGATTTGATATTTCCTCGACAAGCTTGCTTGAAATTCCCCGACAGGGAGACCAAGCAGGGGGAAGAGGTCCCCCATTTTCCCCCTGGACCCCCGATAGCGCCGATCCCGAGCAACAGTGGTCAAAAGCAAACAAGTGCAATTCGTTAGCACATGCTGCAGGAAAAATGGGAGTGTCACAACTCAAGTTAGCTGGTGACACACTAAATATTTTCAAATAGGCAACTATATTCAATATGATATAGTTGAAAAAAAATCATTAAAAAATATATAGCCACTGGCAAAAACTATAAGCCTACTTACCATGTGATTATTTAATCAAACGCTATCTAACTAGTAGATTATTAATAGATTAAACTAGTAAATTAAATAGAGCCCAGCTAAACAATATTACGTTATAATAACGTTGTAATAACGTTACAGTTTGGTGATAAAAACGAAAAACGTTAGTTTGTAGATCCATATGTACGTACTTGACCTAATTTCATGTCACAAAGTTTGAACGTTCTTATAACGTTGTATGAACCTTATTTTGTGACATACCAAAACCACAATGTTCTCGAACGTTATAAGAACGTACGTTTTGTGTTTGCCATTGCACAAACCATGCTTATGAATAATTTATTTAATTACTATTTGATGAGGGAGGGTTAATTTTTAATGGTCATTTCATCTTTGCTTTCTAGCAAAACGTCTTTCTTCCTTGATTTTAGAAATCAATTTATTTATTTATTCAGACTACTTAGTTCACTTTAAAAAGGCCTATACTACAAGCACAAGTTGTCTGTGTTCTTGGCAAGACGATTTGTACCTATCTATCAGGTGTATATAGGTACCGGTATAAGAGGGGAAACCTCAATTTATAATTAAGCTTTTATAGTTTAACCAGTGCTCCACTATGAGCGTTTTTGACGGTCGTATTAGAGTGCCAGTGGTTTTTATCTGCACGTATACATTA